CGGAATGAACAGCATAGTGGGGTTTAGGGTTTAATATTACCCATTTGGGTAATATTAGGGTTGTATTGGGATTATATTGGGATAATGCAAAACAAAATTGCAACTACTATGTCGTTTTCCTTTGCATGCAAAACACGGTCTGATAGTCGTTGGCCTATCTTGCTTTTGGTGAAGGCCGGAAAGTTGAACATCGGTGCATTTCGATTCCGAACACGGAGTGCCCAGCTTTCCTCTCTCCTTCGCCACGCCATAGGTTCAACGTCAGAAATTGATAGTTTACAGTTTGCAGGATCAAGAAATCATGCGGGGACACCCGGAAAAATTACGTTTGGTAGTGTGCACGTGCGGCAGATAGAGCGGACGGGTAGTGCAGCAACAAGAGACAATGTCTAAGTCTAAGGGTTGCAACTGTGGAAAAGCATGATTTTTGCATTAGGAACTAATTTCTATTACCATTGCAATTTACCATTATCAGTTACTATACTATTACTGTTTACTATTACGATCTACCGTTACTATTTAATATAAATACCTGCAGCAGGGTGGTGGAGGACGTGTTCGCATCACGTCTACCTAAACCCTCAACCTTCTTTTTTTCAACCCGGACTTGAGCGACTGCCAGAATGAAAGCAACTGAGTCCTAAACCCTCACGATTATTATCCCCAAGCCCTCAACCTAAAATTCAGGGGACCTAAACCCTAAACCCAAACAATAAACCCTAAACCCAATTCAGATCACGTCTTGACCTGTAGGCGAGCTGCCGCGCGCGCCCGGAGCGAGTCAAAGTACCTTGGAAGCTGGGAAGAGCGTATTTGGTGTAGGGTTTTGGGTTTTGGGTTTGGGGGACAATTTGTTTGGAGAATATCAAAATACCAATAAGAATACATCATAACACGATTAATAAGCAACACAAATATTGAGATTAACAATTATACTTACAATATTGTTTTACCGATAATACAAATATGAGGATAACATGGATCTAAGAAGATGCAGTGTGCTGCACATCAGAGCCATGTACCAGGAAGAGCGGGCAGCCTCTGCCAAGCCACAATAAAGCTGGTTGCTCTCCAACACCTCTCTATCTTAGGTCCAACCATAACTTGGCATGAGATACGGAAAACCCTAAGCCTGAAGGCGATTCTTTTGGATTCGGCCTCGATGGGGTGTCGTAGGTATGCCTCGTGTGTGCTGGGTTGCCGGCAGGATATGCCACAGTGGCTGGTTCTAGCTCCTGCGCGTGAGCGTCTTTTCAGCTTGGATTGTCAGGTTGGAACAAGGAGTTGTAACCATTGCAGCCAAAGAATGTCTTGGACTTGCTTGCCGCAAGTCAGAGTGAATTGATGCCTAGACGAAGCTATGCCAAGGGAGTGGGCGTCGCAGTATGCCGGACTTCGGGATGGCGCCCAAGAGGACTTGCAGAGAAGTGCTGGGATTATAGGGGTTATATAGGGGTTATATAGGGATAATGGAAAAGAAAATGGAAACTACCGGGATTATAGGGGTTACATAGGGGTTATATTGGGATGATGGAAAATAAAATGGAACTGCTTTTTAGGGTTTAGAGTGGGGAGCTGAAAGACCCGTGGTGCCAAGCAATATCAGTAGCATTTTGATTGGTAGCAGTACTATGTGTATGATTACTGTTATGATTAGTATCATCCTGATTCTTGATGATTATGATGAATACTTGTCGTATTCTTATTAGTAGTATTATTGGTATGGATATTACGTATTATTTGTAGCATCCTGAATAGTACTCTAAGGGTCCAAGGACCCAAATAATAGGGCTTTAGGACCCAAATACCATGAATATTGTAGTATTTGGGCCCTAAACCCCTCATTTGAGCCCCTGGACCCTAAGGGTAGTTTCCGCATGCTTCGCAGCAAGAGGACTCTGACAAGCAGCCGGACCTGCAGAGGCGCAATTTGCTACGCAAAGGGTTTGGCCTGGATCGAAGTTGCAAATAGTTCCCATAATGTAGGGATATACACGGAAATGTCAAACACAGTGGATTCCATTGTGAAACAATTCGGATATTTTATACAGGGACTATGTAAGGATTATAT